GATGCGAAGAACCTTGAGACTCGGCAGTTGTCCAAGACAAGGGAGTCCCTCACATTCTGGGATGTCCTCCATCTCGACCTCTTCAAGGCAATATATTTTCAATTCTGAAACGGTCATAACGCTGCTACTTCTATCGATTTCTTCCCATAATCTTGAAACTTCTGTCAACCCGACTTGACATAATGACAGTGATTGAAGTGAAGGAGGGAGGGGAGGCATCCTCTTAAGCCTCGGGCATTGTACAATTTGAAGTTTTCGCAAGCAGGGAAACAGCTCTCGACCATCAGCCCAAGACTACTCTGCCCATGCTGGCATGTAACTGAAATTGAGCACCTCCAAGCATGGAAAACACTTGCCTTGACCTCTACAACCAAAGAACCCGTGGCCTACCTTCGTCACTGCTGACATTCCCTCGATGCGAAGATCCTTAAGACACGGCAGTCGTCCAAGGCTCGGGAGTTCCTCCAGTGCCATCATGTCCTTCAGCACAAGCTCTTCTAGATTAGGTAAGAACTTGTTCTCTGTACTTAATTCATGACTTATTTGTTTGACTGCAGGCATTCCCTTCACGTAAAGTTTCTTGAGATTCGGTAGCTGTCCAATATATGAAAGATCCTCCCATGCTTTGCAGTTTTTTATTTCAAGAGTTATCAGGTTCGCTAACAATTGTGCCTGCAGCCAACTGGGTGATCTGACTCCATTGTAACCTCTGATCGCCAAACGTTTGAGAGCCTGATGTGGTTGGAGACCTTCAAGTACCTCCTCCGACACAACTAATTCATTGCCGTTCAAACTGGAACCATCATCAGATGTCCATTCTAAGGCCAGTGCACCAAGGTACTGTTTGTTGTTCAGATTAGCCTTGTTTGCTTCTTGTTTACTCTCAACGTTCTCAAGGCTGGTAATTCGAAGTTCTCCATGAAGATATTTCAGACCGCTTAATTGGGCAACCTCGTGTCCCTTATCCTTGAGTACTTTAAATGAACACAGTCCTTGAAGAGAAGTCAGCTTCCCAACATCATTTATCTCGGAAATTATTTTGTCTTCTGCATTAAGATGCATCAAGTTGATCAACTTACTCATGCCGTGCGGGAAACCCTGTAGTTCACAGCCCCACAGATCCAGTACTCGCAAATTGTAAAGACCACATAACGACTCTGGCAGCCTCCTAAAGTAGAAGTTGTGGGATATGTCAAGATAGCGGAGGTGTATCGAGCCACCAATTGTCTCAGGCAACTCCCGCAAGCCACACCTCTGTAATATCAACACTCGAATGTTTTTTAATCTTTCAAACCGAAGGAACAAAGAGCCCTCGACTCCAATGCCATACCAATGACTTTTATAATTGATCATGAGGGTCCGTAATTTCTCATAACAGGAGAACTCTATTAACTTAGTTTTATCGGTTATTGTTGCCGACAGATGACGAATCGTATTAGGGATCTCTTTCGACTCATCATCATCGATCCTGCAAAACTCTCCCTCTGAAATAAATTGAGCAAGATCGTGTATGAGATCATGCATCACATATGCCGATCCCCAATGAGCTTCCTGAAAGAAAGACCTGTTCACTAACTCACGGAAGTAACCACTTCCTACAGCCTCGGGCGTCATATTGTCTTGAGCAACGTAGCCTTCTGCCATCCAAAGCCGAATCAAGTCTGGTTCATAAAATCGACAATCTTCGGGGAACAGGGAAAAAAAAATAAAGCACCGCTTAAGGTGTGGGGGAAGACATCGATAGCTCAGTTGTAGGACTGGCAGCACACCTTCTTCGTCTTGCAGTAGTTGCCATATTTCACTCCCTGCGATGTTTCTCCAGTGCTTCTCAGTCATCTGCGCCTTCAACAACCCGCCTACCGTCTTTGCCGCAAGTGGCAACCCCTTCAACCTGCCAGCGATCTTCTTTGCTATGGCTTCTAGCTGTGGAAATTCACCTTCGTCTTCGGAACCAAATGCACATTTTTTGAACAATTTCCAATAGCTGGTTTCATCCAGACCTCCTAGAGGGATCGGATTGCCGACCATTTCTGCAATCATTTTAGAGCGAGTTGTAATCAAAATCTTGCTTCCTGGTTCTCCGTACCTCAACGGTGCACAAAATCTTTCCCATTTCAGGCTGTCCTCGTTCCACACATCGTCGAGGACAAGCAGGAACCTTTTTGAGGTCAAGTTCTTCTTAAGAACCACTTGAAGTGTATCAAGGTTGCTGAGATCACACTTATTCTCGGTTATGGATTCTATGATCTCTTTGGTAAGCCTTTCCACGTTGAAGTTGTCTGATACACAGACCCAGACCTCATGCTGAAAATAGTCCTTCACCCTCTCGTGGTTGTAGGCTTGCTGAGCAAGAGTTGTCTTTCCGACCCCTCCGATCCCAACAATAGCTAAGG